ATCTGATATAATTATCCTATGCATTGTAACTCCTCACTTCTATGATATCAACAACAAAACAACAAAATGATATTAATGAGGCCAGATGCAACCTATAGGAATAGGTTGTATCTTGAGTCAATTTCTGTTGAGTTATTAAGGAAAGAGAAGTGAGCAGAGTTCAAAGGAACCTACTACCACCAGAAGAGATGAGCCAGGGTGCGTCCTTTGGACCTGAGGTCCCTGTACTATGAAGCTCCTAGATCCAGGGAAAGATTGATGCCAAGACATACGGAGATCTCCAACATATACTGGGTAGGCCTACAGTTGATGAAAGGAGACAAGGACCTTCCCACAGAGCTGACAGAGAGAAAGCCTTTCCCTAGAGCTTGCACTTTGAATTTGGACTCCTAGTTGTTACAGTCATCAACTTGTGGTTTTTCTGTTATATTAGCATTAGATAACTAAGACAAATACTTTAAGGAAAAGCTGCTATTTCTCCCTACTTATTTATATTAATATGTACTCACGGAGGAGTAGTTTGGCACTGTAAGACAAGAACTGGATTGCTAGCTGCAAGGTAAGCAGTTCAAACCTACTAGCCACTCCTTATTATTGTTAAGTGCAGTCAAGTCAACTCTGACCCATAGCCACCCTATGTAGGGTTTCCAAGGAGCAGCTGTTGAGTTTGAACCACCAAACTTACAGTTCAAATGGCTTCGCAGTCTGGTGAATTAACCCACCGCGCCTCACCAGGACTCCAGCCACTCCTTAGAAACCCTATATAGGGTTGCTGTGAGTCAGAATCCACTACTTATGTGTCAATTTGTTGTACTGTGGTGGCTTGCATGTTGCTGTGATTCTGAAAGCTATGCCATTAGTATTTTAAATACCAGCAGTGTCACACATGTTGTGGATAGTTTTCAGATGAGCTTCCAGACTAAGACAGACTAGGAAGAAGAAAAGATGAACCACATCTGAATATTTAGTCACTGAAAACCTTGTGAACAACAATGGAACACTATGAGATTGTGCCAGAATACTAAATATTGAAACATAATGAAGAGCAAAACAATATTGTCAGATAAATTATTTTGTCAGAAAATGAGCCCCTCAGGTTGGAAGGCAATCAAAATACAACTGGGGAAGAGTTCCCTCCTCAAAGTAGAGTTGAGTATGATTATGCAAATGGAGGAAAACTTTCAGGAACTTCATTTACTTATGGGAAACAACTCAAAATGAAGAGGAACAGCTGTAAACATCCTTGATAACTGAAATATGAATATAGAAAAATTGGAAGTAAAAAATGAAATGGAACATATAATCATTGATATCTTAGATATTAGTGAGCTAAAATTGACTGGTATTAGTCATTTTTAATCTGACAACCACATGGTTTACTATGCCAGGAATGACAAACTGAAGAGGAATGGTATTGCTTTCATCATTAGAAATAATATTTCAATATCTGTCATGAGGTACAATGCTGTCTGTGATAGGATAATATCCATATGCCTAAAAGGAAGACCAGTTAATAACACTAGTACTCAAATTTACACACCAACCACTAAAGCCAGTGATGATGAAATTGAAGAATTCTACCAACTTCTTCACGTTAAATAGATTAAACATGCAATCAAGATGTAATGATAATTACTGGTGATTGGAATGCAAAGTATGGAGACAAAGGTGAAGGATCAGTTGTTAGAAAATATGGTCTTGGTTATAGAAAAATTGTTGGAGATTAGATGATAGAATATTACAAGACCAATACGACTTGTTCATTACAAATACCTAATTTAAACAACACAAAACAACATGGACTTCACCAGATTGAATACACAGAAATCAAAATGACTGCATTTGTCTAAAAAGATCTTGGAAACATTCCATATCATCAGTCAAAAGAAGGTCAGGGTAGACTGTGGAACAGACCATCAACTGCTCATATGCAAATTCAGACTGAAGCTGAAGAAAATTAAAAGAAGTCCATAAGAGCCACATAGTCTACCTAAATTTATAGATTTTTTCAAGAACAAATTTGATGCATTTGACAGTAAGGACTGAAGACCCAAAGAGTTGTGTAATGACATCAAGAACAAAATACAAGAAGAAAGCAAGAGGTTATGAAGAAGACAAAAAAAGAAGGAAAAGACCTAAATGGATGTCAGAAGAGACTCTGAAACTTGCTCTCCAGCATAGCGATGTTAAAGTAAATAGAAGAAATGAGGAGGTAAAAGAGCTAAATAAAAAATTTCAAAGGGCAACTAGAGAAAACAACATCAAATATTATAATGAAATATGCAAAGATCTGAAGTTAGCACACCAAAAAGGAAGAACACGCTCAGCATTTCTGAAGCTGAGAGAACTGAAGAAAAAATTCAAGCCTCAACTTGAATCGATCCCCATATTCTATTCCCAATTTTTACAACTTAGCTTAGAAACCTGTTACCTACCATATGCTAATATCATGTTGTTACTAAATGCCCATTTGCTGGTCTGGATGCAGTAGTGGATCCTTGGGAGACTAATGTACCTCAAGTACAGCTACCACTTATCTATCAGTGGAGGCTTGCATGTTACTATGTTCAGCAAGTTTCAGTAGATCTTCCAAACTAAGACACACTAGGAAGAAAGGTATGGCAATTAAGTTATGAAAACCAACCAATCAAATCCCTATTGATCACAATGACTCAATCCTTTTGTGCAGGGGCTCACTATGAGTCAGGGACAACACAGCAGCAAACATCATCTTCTGGGTTAGGTTTCAACATCATGTTAAATAGAAAAGAAAAGAAAAAAAAAAAGATGAAAGTTGTCGAAGATTTCAGTTTACATGGATCCACAATCAATGATCATGGAAGCAACAGTCAAGAAATCAAGCAACATATTGCATTGGATAAGTCACAAGACCTTTTTAATGTGTTAAAGAGCAAAGGTATCACTTTGAAGACTGAGGTGCATCTGATCTAAGCCGTGGTATTTTCAGTTGCCCTATATATGCATGTGAAAGGTGGACGATTAATAAGGAGGACCAAAGAAGAATTTTTGCTTTGAATTAGGGTGTTGGCAAAGAACATTGGCTGTAATGTGGACTGAGAAAATATTGAACAAATTTATCTTAGAAGCCAGAGTGGACTTTGGACATATTATCAGGAGGGAGCAGTTCCTGGAAAAGGACATCATTCTTGCTAAAGTAGAAGGTCAGCAAAAAAAGATT